CCTCGAGTCTCTATCTAAATAGCACCCACAAATCAATACATCCCCCCAAAAAATTATAGTAAAATTGACAGAGAGCTGGTTTGGTTTAGTAAAGCAGGGAGGACCAGGGAGATATTTATTTATTGATTAGATTTGTGTGTCGCCCACAAATCTAATCAATGACTCTGGGAAGCTTACAAACATTAAAAGTTGGTAAACATTAAAACAAAATATAATAAGGAGGGAGATTTAAGTCCACTCTCCATTACTGAAGCTCACTCAAGTCAACCTCTTTCACTTTCTCAGCCCCACTTACTTCACAGGGTTGTTATTGGAACTGAAGTGGGGAGCACTATGTAAACTGCCCTGAATTGTAAATAAAGAAATCACATGTATGAAATACTACACTCCTATCTAAGTGTCCAATATAATACAAAGCATAACATTTCACTGACAAAATATCAGTGAAGTATGAAAGCCCATACTCATCAAAAATCAAAATAAGTCTTAAATAAATTTTTGTCCCTTTCATCCTAGTTTCTTCAGTGAGGTTATCTAGGAGGTTGCAGCATTCAGTGCCACCAATAGTCTGAAAATTCATGGAAGAAACCATATGTAAGGGTTACTAAATCTGCAATGATCTTTAAAGTGAGGCCATATCACACAATTACAAGTTTAAAGAACATTACAAAAATGACATTGAGTATTTTTCTTTAAGCTGAAATGCTTGTTTCAGAAAATATTTTACCAAAAAATGTTCATTCTAGTCCTTTTGAATAAGTCTGTTTGTAATGCTAAATTTTAAATATAATCAATAATCAATTTCCTAACCATTTCTAATACTTTTATTTAGATGTTTAGTTTGTCCCATCAAAATGTCAATGAGTAACCAGTGTAATTCACAGATAATGTTACTGACATGCAAATATTACAACTAATGAGGGTAATTTAAAATATTTGTAAGAAAATTCAGCTTGAATGCTAGTAGTTTCTAGAAAGACATGCACAATGACAGTGTCTACTCTTGATATCCAAGACAAGAATGAATCTCAATTTTATGAGCAAGTGAAGGCCCTAAATTAAGGAAAGTTTCTGATATAAGAGCACAAGGCTATACCACAATCCCAGGCACTTCCAACTCTTTCAGGTAATTTCCCCTTTGGAGGAATTCATCTCCAAAATCATATCTAACATTGACTTCATGTTAACTTGCCATGTTATGGTGTAAGTTCTTGTCAACGGGGTTCTTTCTGGAAATAATGAAAATGCTGCCTGGTCAACCCTAGATTTTCTTTTCTAAGTACAATCTCCTCTCACAAAAACACAGACCCAAGCTGTTAACAAAATTACCTCATTTCTTTGCTGCTACAGCCCTGGAAACAGCAAAGCTGCCTACCCCTGCAATAAAACATTGCAAAAAAATTCCAAGAGATTTGTAAGTTCTTTTGCAGGTTTGTACAACCGTGTTTACATAGTATCTAGAATGACTACCAAAAATAAGCTTATCTATGTGTTGTTTTAAAAGCTTTCTTGGCTGTTCACCTGAGGGAAACTGATATGGCTCATGTAAGCAATTACTTACATCTATGAATTAATACTTAGAAACTAAAATGTTGTAAAATAAAGAGTGCAGTTTTTAAAAATGCTACATTTAAAAAAAAATACATGAAACCTGTTTCAATTATTTCTCAGAAAAGTGCAAGGAACCTTTAACCTCTATGGAGAAACAATTTATTTTTCAGATTTAATCTGACAGGCACAAACCTTTTTGTTTACAAATCTGAAGTTACAATGCACTGGCAGAAAGTAATTAATAGTTGGCTTTGCATTTCAACATAAGGGAACGTAGGTAGCAGAAAATAAGCATTCTTTTTGTTTTCCTTGTAACTTACTAATAAAACTAAAGAGGATGTAAACACACCCCCTGGGGGGGTATGTCACTGTACCATAATGCCTTGAATGCTAGATAGAAACCTCACATTAAAATCTCAGTTCAGCTAAAGGCTTAGGCTCTGAGCAAACTCAGCTCATGTCATAAGGCTGTCATGATTCTGAACTGTTTTGCTGAAAGGTTAGATATAAAGATAGTATTTTGAATAATTCACATGGCACTTTAAGGTTAATCCTTTCCTACACTATATTTCTACACTATTCTGCCTACAACGTCTCTAGCAGAATTAAATAATGAGCGTAAACTGGTTAATAAAATGGGTGCAGGTTTTCAACACTGTCACTCAATACACAGCAAATTCCACAACTTATTACAAATTTTGCAACACCACTAGTCTAATTGTGACATGTTATAATCCCATAGGATATGGCTTTCAATCAGAATCCTGAAGATTCTGAGCTTTAAAAAAACCCATATAACTTAATAAAATATTCAGATTTACTATGAAATTGGCAATATGTAGATTATCTGTGACATATTGGCAATTTGTGTCCTAATATCTCATTTGCAGAATAAAAGATGTACTTAAAGAATTAAAAGATGCCAAAAACATTGTTTTGAAAACAGGGAATGAAGTCCAATCCACAACTGGAAAAAAAAAAGGAAAGGAACAAGTATAAATTTAATACAAATGTGTTCGCAAAGATGACTAATTTTTGATTGGAAAATTCTGTAAATTTATTTTAAAGTGCTTAATTTGGAAAGGACTGCTTTATCCCATTGTAATAAGGCAGTATTCTAAATTCCTATCTTTTCTGCAAAGCTAAGCCTTTCTCCACAATCCCTATAAATGTTCAGGAATAACATCCAAACAACGATTTCATAAGAACCTTAGAAAGCACTAGAACAAAACAAAACAGATTTTTTTTAAAAAAACATCAATACTTAAGCCAGGAATAGGTTTTAATTTAACCATCATATTTATGGCAACAAATATGGGATTTCCCCAACCCCAATATATAATCTATTTAAAGTGTGAAAATTATACATTTAGTTGAGATATCAGTAATTAACAAAACAGCCAGTAGTTTATTTATGTTTACATCCCAGAAAATTTGAAACATAACATAAACTGTTTTATTTGGTTATCCTAACTTTGGGTACCCAAGGACATGATTTCAGATTAGGGAAAAAAATCCTGTTTTTTTAAAGAGGAAAGCACACTCCCAATGGACAACCATAAATAAAAGAGATAAGAATTCTCTTTAAGGAAAATATTACAAGTAACAAAACTGAATGAGCAGCTATTATTACTGTGGACAACACAGAATCAGCAAATGATGACAGTTCTAATAAGCAACCACAGCATACTAATATATTAACATAAGAAGTTAATATATCACAGAGGCAACTTCACATATTTTGAAATGGTTTGTGATAAAGAGAACTTCTATAAGCACCAAATCATGCTCTCCATCATTGAAAATCAAATACTTTCAGTTGACAGATGCTGATTGAACTATTCTTTATTTATAACAAGCAATGTGAGCTCTAAATAGAAAAACAAAAATCGAGGTCCAATCCCAACCCTCATTTCAATATATTTTAAGGCTCCAAAGGTTATATACTACTGGTATTTGCAGAAGCAATAATATTTAGAGAGAACAGGTTGGGGTGAAACATCAAACAAGAGGAAGGCATCCATTTCTGCTTGATACAAGAGAACCCCTACATTTCACAGTGGGACATGTACGTGGCCCCAAACTGTCCTTGCTGAGCAATCTCCCATTATTACTAAATCTGCCAAATTTGTTTGAAACCCAATTTTAGGGAAGCAGCTCAGCCCTTAAAACAGGTTACCAACCTGCTGCCAGAAAGATGGGGAAATGAAGCACGTTATGCAACCAACCTGACCCATTACAGCCAGATAATTATAGGGCTGAGATGACAGCTCTCTCCCTTCGGAAAAGCCCAGTTTTCCTATAGGAAGTCACACCATCCAAAGTGAGTCACCCCTCCCCTAAACTTTCATTACTGATGGTTAATAAAGTTTATGATGGTTCACATGCTCATTATAGAATAGAACAAGAAAGTGGGAAGGGAACTTGTAGGTCATCTCGACCGACCCCAACCCACCCCTGGAGACTTTGCCTACACGATCCAAAATGAGTCACCCTTCTCATAAACTTTCATTATTGATGGTTAATAAAGTTTATGACAGTCCACATGCCCATTATAGAACAGAAGAAAGTGGGAAGGGTCCTTGAAGGTCATCTAGTCCAACCCCCACCACCACCCAAGCAGGAGACCCTGCATCATTTCTAACAGATGGCAATCCAGTCTCTTCTTGAAAAGCTTCCAGCGCAAGGAAATCGAGGCAGCCAACTCTCCATAAGCAACAAACGAAGAGACACGAGCAGAGAGGAGCCAAACAAACGCCCCACACCTCTACCCCCGAAGGGGAAAGAAATATTGTAGGACACACAGCGCTTTTTGAATGCAAAGACAAACACAACAACAACAACAACAACAATAGGCGACACAGGCTGACAGGGTGCAAGGGATGCTCCAAGTCTAAACCTCCCGGGGGAAGGGGTGTGTGTGGACGGCTGCCCCGCCGCTCCCGCAAGCCGGCCTCCCTCACAGGGTTGGCGTTTGGCATGAGGAAAAGGCTGCCTCTATAAAGCCCAGGGAGGGGACTCCTCCGGGGGAAAGCGGAATCCCCTCAGGCGAAATAAAACAACGTTTTAAAAAAGGCGGTTTCACGTGTCTACGCCTTCCCACGTTCTCTTCGCCCGCCCGTGAGGAGAAGCTCTGGCCGCCCAGACCTCCCGGTCCCCGGGATAGGACACCCACCCATCCCGAACTCCTCCTCAGCCTCCACGAGCCCGAGACGCGTCCTCCCGCCCGGCCGGTCCTCTATGAGGGAAGGAACCCCCCCGGAGGAGAGGAGAGACGGGAAGGAGGGGGGTTGTCCCGAAACAAGGAAGGCCTCGCGCGTCCCAGGCCGCCGCCGGCCGAGGAGAGGCCGGCGGGAGGGCAAAGCCCGGGGGGGTCTCGCGGCAGGGCAGGACGAGGCGACCCCCGGAGGAACCGTCCCGCGCAGCCACCTCCCCCCCCCCGTACTTACCCTGTCACAACAGGCGCCATCTTCCACAAACTCTCGCCAAAACTCCTACTCTCGCGAGAGGCGGCCCAGGGGGCCTGCCGCGCGCGCGCCTGCGTGAGGGCATACGAGTGCGCGAGTTGCCGCGCGAGCGGGTGCATCCTACTTTCTCTCCCCGCTTCACGAAAAGTGACCGGGCGGCAATGCGCACGCGCGAACTTTTATTATTATTATTATTTAAAAAAAAAAGAAGGGCGGGGCTAAGAGTAAAAAAAAAAAAAAAGAGGGGAACGCCGAGTTCGTTCCCGCCCACTGCTTTACTTACAGGGCTTTGCTCCGCGGCTGTCTCTCTCCCTCTCCGTTTCCCCTTCAGGCTGAGGCGCAACAGGCGTGGGAACTGGGCTCCCATGTCTCGCGAGACGAAGGGACCAACCGGGCGGGAGAGCCAAAGGGATTCCCCGGCTCGTCTACCCGGCGCGTAATTAGACCGGTCGGGGTTGTGGCGGGGGGCGGCGAGGGGGGGGGCGGGCGGGACGAACCACTTGCCGCGATTGGAAGGGGGGGCCTCAACTATGTGCCTAAGGAATTTGTGCCGAAAGAAAACGGAGTGCAGCGAGGCGGGACCATTTCGGATAGGGAGAGAGGAGGGGGGGGGGGGGAAGCTCGCGACTGAGTGTGATTTGAAGAAAAAGGAGACGGTAAAAATAAAAAGTTGAGAAATAAAAATAAGAAGAATAACCTCTTGAGGACTGAATCAAAATAAAGAGAATATGGAAAATAAAAACGGAATAACGATGAAAAGTTTCCACAAACAAGAATAAAATGTCAAAGCAAAAAAATTGCCGAATAATTAATAACAATAATAACAATAACAATAAAATAAAATAATAAAATAAATAATAATAATAAATAATAATACTTGGTTGACATATAGGATGTTGGCAGCAATCCATATCAGTCAATTATATTTGTGATACATTTTTAAATGTTTAGTTGACTGAATTTCATGCTTAATGAATAAAAATAATATAACAATAATATCAAGGCGAAAATAAAAGAATGAACCAGTCAGTTCAAAAGTCTGGGATCAGAAACGAAAGAAGCAAAATAAAAACAATAAATGAATAAACAATATAAAAGTGAAAAATATGAACACAAACGGAGGAAAAAATAATTAAAAATGAAGGGAAAGTGCAGAGTAGAGAGTTAAAAAAAAATTTTTTTTGCATCCACATTAAATTAGGGACATCCCCGAGAAGCAGACTTGTTAGTAGCTGGCTTTCAAAAGCATCAAAATACAACTCTGAATTGAGTGTTCCTCTTTAAAAAAAAGGTTCCCCCCCCCCAACACTTTCTGTTTCGTCTTCAATTCGTGCATTTCTTGGTGGTCTCCTTTTGAGTTCATCTCAGGCTCTGTCTGGCTTTTTGGAGACCAGCCGGCATTAACTGCTGTGGACGGGAAAATTAGTGCATTATATTTCCTAGATGTAAGGAAGTCCTCAACTTATGACAGTTTGTTTAATCTCCATTTGAAGTTACAACAGCACTGAAAAAAGGGACTTACGGCCGTTTTTCACACTTAACAACCGTTGCAGTATTCCCCAAGGTCGCATGATCAAAATTCACAGACGCTTGGCAACTGGCATGTATTTATGATGGTTGCAGTGTCTCCGGGGGCAGTGTGATCCAGGGGCGGGTGTCAAAATTTTTTAACAACTGGTTCTCTGCCCAGTTGCTGGGTGGACGTGGCCTAGTCAGCCTCCCGCACCACGGCGGGGGCATTTTCACCCTCCCCAGCTCCAGAGACTTTCCTCCAGCCTCCGGCAGAGCGAAAATTGCCTCCCCCGGGCTCCGGAGGTTGGAAACGGGCCCATTTCTGGCCTTCCTGAACTTCCAGTAAGCCCGTTTTTTTCCCTCCACGGGCTCCGGAGGCTTTCCTCAAGCCTCTGGGAGGGTGAAAGCGGCCTCCCAAGGCTCCGGAGGCTCTCTTGAGGCCAGAAATGGGCAAGTTTCCAGCCTCAGGAGCCCGGGAGGCTCATTTTTTGCCCTCCCTGAGCTTCTGTGCGGGCCCTGCACTTACCTAGGATCCATGCTTCTCCTCTTCTCATCCAGGGAAATACAATATTCTGCCTTTTTAATATTTTGTAAAATATTTCATTCTACTAAGAGGGTTGAGTGCTAACTTTCTTCAACAATAAAAGACAAAGTGGAAATAGGTGCTATATTTACAGATGGTCTCCAGCTTCCTTTTGTCTTCAGCTTAACTGCATTACCTACCTTTAAATTTCCTTTATTTTCTGGAACGTACTCCATTTTTTCCCCAAGGGGAGAGATGGCTGTTCCATGTGTTGGGTTGCCTATTTCCTTCTCCTATGCCAGTGCCCTTTCCCACATACATTTTTGTTGTTTTACTACCACCCAATCCACTTGTGATACTTTGTTTTTATTTTAGTATGACCACTGTAGAGTAGACTTTCAAATGAAAACAGCCATCAACACACTCCAATCAACACCTAAAAAGCCACATACAACAGGCACCATATGAATACCACACACTAAACAGCATATATTCTGCTAGAGAGAAGTTCTCCAGCACAAGTATGAAAGCTCGTAAGACTAAACCTATAGTCCCAGTGACCCAGCCAGATTAGATCCTGCAACATTATCCTGGGACACATATAGGGGTGGGCTGCTGGGGGTTCGCAGGAGTTCAGGAGAGCCCCTAGCTAAGCTTCTGTGCAGTTCAGAGAACCCCCAAATTGTTCTGACCCAAACCCTTGTCCAATAAAACAAACACGAACCAAAGGGAACAGAAACCTTTTAATGATTCTTACGAATCCCCGGTTAAAATGCTGTCAAACATAACATAAAAGGTTACCTAGAAATACTTTAATATTTTACATAAAAGTCTTCAAATACCAACTAAGATACTACAATGTCCATGAGGCTGAGTTTCAAAATGTCTTTGCTTCCTGCAAAGAACGTTCGCTTCACAGCTGGATTTTACCTTGAAGCAGGGGCCATTACCTTGCAGCATTATTCCCGAGTCTCCCGTGCTGTTGCAGCTGCTCTTTCCTGCGAGCAATCTTGCACTCGTGCACTGGGCACAGGCTCCTCGGGAACCTCCTCATCGCTGCTGCCAGCCCCCACCATCTCTGAAGGCAGCAGTCCACTCCCTAATGGTCCTGGCCCTTCATCTGAGTCCTCGCTCTCCTCAGCCATCCACACCTGCTGCCGGCTAACCACAACACAAATCCCACTCCTGGCTGGCCCCGCCCTCCCCTCCCCCCCTCAGGAGTCTCCATGTGGCCCGTTTTGGATGCAGGTAAGTGCAGGGCACACACGGAGGCTCGGGGAGGATGAAAAATGGGACACCTGGAAATTTGGGAAGGCTGGAAATGGGCCCATTTCCTGCTTCCAGAGAGCCTCCGGAGCCTGGGAAGGCCATTTTTGCCCTCCTGGAGGCTCGAGAAAAGCCTCCGGAGCCCGGGGAGGGCAAAAACGCCCCCCACAATGGGGCAGGAGGCTAACTAGGCCACACCCACCATGGCCACACCCACTCAGCAACCGGGCAGAGAACCCGTTGCTAAAAAATTTTAAGCCCACCCCGTCACACATATATTCGCCTTCAGTCGTGAAAAAGAGTTTTATTAGTTTCTCCCAATTTTGCATTTATTACTGCAGTTACATGGCAGAATCTTCCCTATAATGCTTATGCACAAATTCCTTAAAGCAAACTCACTCTTGGCATATGATAGTATGTAGGCTATTTCAATTCAGCTAACTTTGAATGATGTCTGGATGTGTGCCAAAATCTGTCTCTGGATGATAATTCCAATGTGTTTCAAATCCTGCTGTTGCAGTTCTAATTATTTTGTTTTAAGTTGGAACAGCCCTCTTCTTGAACTTTCAAATAATTGTAACACAGATCCATGTTCAAAACAGGATTTTATTAGTTTCAGCAGGTGTGTCAAGCTTATTTTTAAATCGGCATAAGATACTTCATAGTAGAGTTATATTTACAAAACTATACATAGGATATCCAGGGATATCCTATATTTTTAAAAATGAACATCTTGTCCTATTTACCTACTATAAGCCTGAGTATGTCTCTTTTTTTTTTCTTAAATGGTGTTTTTAGTAAGAAAAAGACACAGATGCAATATGAAAGACAAATTATACCATCATTTGTTGGAAGATCGGCTCCACCAAGGATTGTCATCTCAGGACATTCTCAATTTACCTTGCTAACTTGACTTGATTTATAGAGAATAACAGTGTTGGAAGGGACCTTGAAGGTCTTCTAGTCCAACCCCCAGCCTAGGCAGGAAACCCTACACCACTTCAGACAAATGGTTATCCAACATCTTTTTTAAAACTTCCAATGTTGGAGCATTCACAACTTCTGGAGGCAAGTTGTTCCACTGATTAATTTCTCCTTAATTCTAGGTTGCTTCTCTGCTTGGTTAGTTTCCACCCATTGCTTTTTGTCCTGCCCTCAGGTGCTTTGGAGAATAGCTTGACTCCCTCTTCTTTGGGGCAGCCCTTGAGATATTGGAACACTGCTATCATGTCTCCTCTAGTCCTTCTTTTCGTCAGGCTAGACATACCCAGTTCCTGCAACCGTTCTTCATATGTTTTAGCCTCCAGTCCCCTAACTTCTACACTTCTACAGATAGTTGAGAGTCAAGAAAAAAGTGTTTATGAGTGGGGACAACTATTAGAAAAAAACACAACCCAACACTTTCTAATGAACTCAGAACAATGATAACTCAGTAAAAGGAGTAACTAATGGAAAAAAAAAAGCCCACCATGTATCTTTAACCTTTATGAATTTTTAAATTATAGCATTCTAGACTACTCTAAGTAGTATACAAAATCAGCATCCATTGGCCAGCATAATAATAAAACAGGCTCAAATACCTAAGAAAAAGATTTTAAAAACACAATGGAAAACAACTCTGCCAAGGGAAAAATGGAAGGCAAAAGAGAAACTACCATCTTCAAATATGTTCAAAACAGAGAATTAAGACAGCAAAATGCTAACAAGATTGACAAAGGAAATGCAAAAGAAAGAACCCAG